GTGTGGCACCAGCCCCACGCTCTCATCTCCCCCTCCCCTCACACTGGGGGGTAGCACTTCCACTGCACCCCCAGCTGGCGCAGGGAGCTCGGTGCCTCCGTCTCTGGGCGCGCTGTGCCGGGAGGGAGGGCGGCAGGGGAACTCGCCGCCAGCTTCTCTCCCTTCCGTCGGCCTCCCAGGTGGTGAAGATCATCAGACCGAGTGAGACCGCGGGCCGCTACATCACCTACAGACTGGTGCAGTGACCCGGAGCTGTGGGGTAAGGCGGAGGGTGCTGGGCAGTGCCGCAGACTTAGCTGGGGCTGTCCTGGAGTGGCTGCCTCCGGGAAAAGATCATCCAGAAGCTTTCAGTGGGTTGGTTGTTAGCGAGAGAACAGACCAGAGAAAGACTTCATCAGTCTTGTGCCTCAGTGTCCACCGCTGGGACGTGCCTGTCGTGGTCAGGGGGGCTTGGAGTGATCTGCTGAGGGGGGCACGAGGTGAGTCACATCCCGAGTTCTCCTTTTTGCCAGGTGTGGAAGGGCTGTGTGACACCTCCGGATCTTCCCGTCCACCGGCAATTTACAGACGCTCTGAGATGTCGGCTTTCTCCTAGATGGCCAAGGAAATTCTCTTTCCGTGTTGCCTCTGTGCAGTCATGTTACTTGGCCTGACTCCTTTTTTCCGGCATGGAATTGCTGTAACTTCTCAGTCTTCGCTAAGGACTTGAGCCACGGAAGTCACCGGAAGCAGCAGAAGTGTGCAGGGAGGAAGCAAGTGGAAAAAGCCTTTGCTTTCCTATTTTATTTTACAGGGTCTGATTTTCAATAAATGTTTGTACTCTGGCTGTTCCTCGCTGGTGTTGTGCTGCTGAGGCTCTCCGTGTGACAAAACCTTCTGGACTGTGTGAGTTCTGGCGTTTTTCGTTCTGTTTGGAGTCTCCTGAGGCTCCAAGGGACTCTCCATCGTGGCAGGGCCAGAGCTCACCCTGCAGACTCTGGTCTGACGCTGCAGTTCAGACTTACCTCGTTGCTTTCCTCGGCTCTTCTGCCCTCTGGCCCTTTGTTGGAGGCCTCAGTGTTCAGATATTCCATGGGGACTTGCTTCTCACCCCCAGCCACTTCCATTTTCGTCTGTTCCAGGTCTCTCGAGGGTTTTTAAACTTAGTTTACTTGCTAGAAACACTGGGAGTGCTCCCCCCCCAGTGCTCAGCCTCCCGCAGCCGCAGGCGTGCGGGTCTGGAAGACCCTGCTCTGCAGGACAGGCGCGGGTTGGAACACGCTGATTTTATTTTTGGGGGTTTTTTGGCTGCATGTCAATCTGAACACAGCAAAACACGCAGCAGCTTCGTGCAGCAGCGCAGGCACGTAACAAACACGCTTTGCTTTTTCCACACCGAATTAATACACAAACAAGGATGCTCGTTACCACGTGAAGCTCAAGCTCAGGCTTCTCCCCTCCCTCGCCCCTTCACCGTCATCCACCGCAGACACGCGCGGTGCTGCCCACGGTAGCGGCGCCGGCGCTCGGCCTCGCGCCAACCTGCTGGGAAAACCCAGCCCTCTTGTCTGGAGCTGTGGAGCAGAACGTCTCACAGGCATCTCCAGCTCTTCTTTGGCCCCGTTAGAGACCATTCAGCTGGAGATTGACTTGGGTTCGTGTACCTGCTGTGCTGACATGGGTTTCCCATTCGGCTCGCGGAGCTCCCGGGCACTCCCCCGTGCTGGAGGCTGATCCTCTTGGGGTCCAACGTCTGGTCGATCGCCCGTTTCTGCAGTAACGAGGCGCGTACCCTGCCCGAACGCTGCCCAGCGTTGGCTCCTGCTTCGCTCGCTCGGTGTCCTCAGCTGGAGATGTGCCCACCTGCCCTGCCTCCCCGTCGCTGCCCGTCGCCGTCGGTGCCCCTCAGACCCGGCGCGAGGCCCGACGGGTGAGCGGAGCACGAGTCCATCTCCGGCACCGCGCAGAGGAGGGGTCTGGCAAATTCTCAGAGAACAGCTTTGGAGTCGTACAGTTTCTCGGGAGCTGTGGGCTGTTCCGTGGGCATGAGGTGCCCTCAGCGTCTGGCCCTGCCCAGGAGCTCTTGGTCTTCGCTTGCCGGGTGCCCCCCGGTCTGGCGGGTGCTCCGTGGCGACGGCAGGAACGCAGCCCAGGTACAAGCAGGGTAAAGAGCCTTCAGCTCTTTCTAAGCACAAAATCTACTCGTTTCTCTCTGCTTCAGTGCAGAAAAGTCTCGTAGCTTTAAAAATAAACCACTTGGGCTGGTCTCGTTTAACCTTTTCCATTCCTTTGCCAGCAGAGGTAGTGGATTCGTGTCGGAGGGTTCTCTCTTTAGGAAAAAAACACAAAAAAAAGCCTCTTACAGTGGCGGGGGCCTCGCTTGCCGGGTGCCCCCTGGTCTGGTGGGCGCTCCGTGGCGACAGCGGGAATGCAGCCCAGGTACATGCAGGGTAAACAGGAGCAAAGAGCTTTCAGCTCTTTCTA